GGCCAGCTCTGACTCTTCCCCCTCAGAGTTAATGGCTGAGACCTCTGGCACACACATTTCGCAGCACAGGAATAACACGAGTTCAGTGGCACAGAGCATTTCTAGTTTTGCATCTTGAAATGCTGCATTTGGGGCAGAGCAATCAATGATTACGGTTTATTTGATGTTTGTTATTTATTCTCATTCCTGCCTTGATAATCTTACAGGGCTGGGATTTTATGCAATGCTGGATATGGGGAAGCTGGAGCAGAAATCCATTCCAATGGACACAAACCAGTTCAAGTATTAAATACAAGTATGAAATACAAAATGAAATTCTGAACTATACAAGAAAGACCTTGACGTCCCTGATAACCAAGATGGGGTGGGTCACTGACATCGAGCCAGACATTCTGGAATGTGAAGTCAAATGGGCCTTAGGAAGACTGAGCAACAACAAAGCTAGTGGAGGTGACAGTATTCCAGCTGAGCTATTCAAAATCTTAAAAGACGATGCAGTAAAAGTGCTACACTCAATATGCCTGCAAATTAGGAAAACTCAACAGTGGCTGCAGGACTGGAAAAGGTCAGTTTACATTCCAATCCCAAAGAAGGGCGATGCCAAAGAATGTTCAAACTACCGCACCATTGCACTCATTTCACATGCTAGCAAAGTGATGCTCAAAATCCTACAAGCTAGGCTCCAGCAGTATGTGGACAGAGAACTACCAGAAGTACAGGCAGGATTTCGAAGAGGGAGAGGAACTAGAGATCAAATTGCCAACATATGCTGGATCATGGAGAAAGCTAGGGAGTTCCAGAAAAACATGTACTTCTGCTTCACTGACTATGCTAAAGCCTTTGATTGTGTGGATCACAACACATTGTGGCAAGTTCTTAAAGAGATGGGGGTACCAGACCATCTTATTTGTCTCTTGAGAAACCTATATGCGGGTCAAGAAGCAACAGTGAGAACTGGACATGGAACCACTGATTGGTTCAAAATTGAGAAAGGAGTTCAGCAAGGCTGTATACTGTCACCCTGCCTATTTAACTTATATGCAGAGTACATCAGGGGAAAGGTGGGGCTAGATGAATCACCAGTTGGAATTAAGAAATATCAACAACTTCAGATATGCAGATGATACCACTCTCATGGCAGAAAGTGAAGAGGAACTAAAGAGCCTCTTGATGTGGGTGAAGGAAGAGAGTGCAAAAGTTGGCTTGAAACTCAACATTAAGAAAACTAAGATCATGGCATCTGGTCCTCTCACTTCCTGGCAAATAGATGGGGAAGAAATGGAGGTAGTGACAGATTTTATTTTCCTGGGCTCCAACATCACCACAGATGATGACTGCAGCCAAGAAATTAAAAGACGCTTGCTCCTTGGGAGGAAAGCTATGGCAAATCTAGACAGCATACTAAAAAGCAGAGATGTCACCCTGCCAACAAAAGTGCATATAGTCAAGGCTATGGTTTTCTCAGTTGCAATGTATGGCTGTGAAAGCTGGACCATAAGGAAGGCTGAGGGCCGAAGGATTGAGGCCTTTGAGTTGTGGTGCTGGAGGAGACTCCTGCGAGTCTCTTGGACCGCAAGGCGATCAAACTGGTCAGTCCTAGAGGAGATCAACCCTGACCGCTCTTTAGAAGGCCAGATGCTTTAGATGAAACTCAAATACTTGGGCCACCTAATGAGAAGGAAGGACTCCCTGGAGAAGAGCCTAATGCTGGGAACAATAGATGGCAAAAGAAGAAGGGGACGGCAGAGAATGAGGTGGCTAGATGGAGTCACTGAAGCAGTTGGTGTGAGCTTAAGTGGACTCCGGGGGATGATGAAGGACAGGAAGGCCTGGAGGAATGTTGTCCATGGGGTCGCGATGGGTCAGACACGACTTTGTGACTAACAACAACAATGTGAAATCCTAAGAATAAGAAATGCAACCCATAGGCATTAACAGAACTTGCTCTGTCCAAAATAACTATGAAGCTTTTACTTAAAGCCTATAATGATAATAAGGCCAGAGAGGAACGGGAATAAAAATAAATTACTATTTTATATCTGGGAAAGACAAAATATCTGAATGAACTTAACTGATAACAATGCAATCCTTTATGAGGAAATCAAGCAAGCATGAACTTATCCCATTTCAGTTTCTCAGAGATGGAAACAGAATTGCCATAAAAAGCAAGAAAAGAATCAGATGACAGAGTTTCCTGATGAACTCCTTTCCCTGTGAGCCAAAGGCACCTATGTTAGACAAAGCTAACCATCAATTCAGAGAGAGGAAATGCAAAAGTTTCTCTGGGAGAATTAATTAGGATAGAAGCAAGCCTATTACAGCAAGCTCTCCTACCAGGCTGAAAATGGGCTCTGCTGAATACTTATGCAACATTTCAAATATCTGTGAACAATAAGGCTGACATGTGCCCAACAAATTCCAAGATGGCCTCAATTACTTCCTGGCAACGATGCTCAGAATGTTTTGTTTTTGTATTGTAACAGAATGATAAAAGACAGACATACTTCTCTTCTATTGCAAGATGTAGCCAGTAGTAGAATTAATATACATGAAGTGCAAACATACTTTCCTATATTTGAGTAATAAAAAGAAAACAAAGAATGCTTAGCTCTTCATTCCAAGGCTGAACAGCCTAGACATTGTAAAAGCAGTCAAAGTCTATTGCGCAACACCCACTGGAAAAACACGTAGCACTCTCATCTATAGAAGCCTGGTGAAAATTCAGAGCCTGTCAACATTTTCACAAGTCATCTAAGGCAAGGTCACTGAAGACATGCAGACCTTTTTGTCCTTAGGGTTCCTGCAGAGCCAGACTGCATTCAGGAATGAAAATTAGGGGGGAAAGTTTTCCTCTTCCATTTTAGTGTTGACAATATAAATGTGGCAGTTTTCTAGGTGTCGCCTCTGCCTGAAATGAGTGATTGGCTTCAAAAAGCAATATTTTTGGGAGGAAAAAAAAAGCTAGACACCTACACTGGTGTGGCCATTTTAACCTCAAGAACTCTAGAGCAAGAAGATGCTGGCTGTAAAGCAGGCAGTGAGGAAGACAGTCAACAGGTCAGAACATGCTCACTGTGATGCCAAATGTATGTATATCCTAAAATTGCCTGTAGGAGAATAGTAAGATAAAGGGTGAATAAGCAGCTAGAGGCAGATAGTTGCTTGTAATGCACTACTGGGCATTTGAAAGATCCCTGGGGAGTCCGTGATCCATCCTACTCATTCTTTTCTCCCCATAAAAAGCATAAAACCCCTGAAAAGCAAACTATCAAAGAGCCACTTCACTCAAACAGAATGTTTTAAATGTCTACATTCAGAAGAGTCTATAGGTACACACAAATATTTCATGTGCTCATGCAAAATAAGTATGTTTACCACCATGCACACCACATATGCACATTATGGCTAACCTGCATTAACCACTGGATATTGCAGTGATCCTCAAAATGTCACAGGTATGAATACAAGTTTGACAAGAGAGAACAGTAAACACATATGGCAACAATTTGCTTTCCACTGAATATCTGTTTGGCTCTGGAGGGCCGTCTTAAAGTGTATGAAAGCAGGTAATATAGAGAATGCAAAGATCCAGCTGGATCTTCTGCACTTCTTTTCCATGTTTGGTCCTGTTCAGGAATTGAGTTGAGCTGAGATCAAACCTTTAAAAACTGGGGAACAATAGTAGACCCCTTCTTTGTACAAAATATGCGAAGTACAATAAGTCCTCTCTGTAGAAACAGAACTTTTACAGTAGGCACTTGGACAGAAGGTGGTGGGTGAGCAAGATGGTTTCATGGACTAGCTTGGGCTTACTTCCTGCTGAACATCCACAAAAATGGTCACCATGAAGCGGATTCAGACCAGAGAGAAAATGGGACAGAATCTGGAGAGCTAAGAATATCTGATGGATTCCTACCTCCAAACCAAATTCATCACACACTGCTATGCTACAATGTGTTCATTCAAACTGAACTCACCACCAATACAAAAACCTCCACTGTAGTTTGCTTAGGCGTACTATATCTGTGGACAATTTGTCCATTGTGTAGTGCATGGATGGCATTGCTCCATTGTAAACACACCCATTTGACTACTACTCTTTCCATATTTAGATATATTGTACTGTATTATTGTGCGTGGGTAGCAATGCTTGGTTCCGCTTCCAGGATCTAGCAATCTTTGCAGAATTGAACTCATAGAATGTTGCCCCTCTCATTTGTACATCAGAGGATCAAATTACTCCACTGCAAAAGTGGGCTAGTCCAGATGTTACATCAAACCACTTCCAGCTCTTCCAATATCCTCCAGCTTTAGTAGCAAGCTAGCCATTACACTTGAATGAGGCATGGTGTGCACAAGACATTAATGGCCTGGAAATCATCATCTGAATACACATACAATCCAGAGTTGAATCACAAATAAACATGTCGAGAAACAATCCAGGGGAAATCTTGCCACCAACCTACATCCTAATTACTATTCCTTTGCTGATTTATTTAAATACAATGCAGCAATCTCACCAGGGGAGGAAAGGTGAAGATGGAGACCATGCAAGCCTGAACCTTGCCGTTTATTCACATCATGCTCAGCTATGGTTCATAATGTCATCCAAAACAGGTCTCTGCCTAATGTAATTGGGAGAGGGTAGCTGTTGTGAAAACATCAGTGCCAAACTTTCTAGTCTGATCTCCACATAAAAGAAAAAAGGAACAATTAAACTAAATGTTATAGTCACAAGAAATAGGAAAATATATTCCTTGGTAAACAGAATTTATTTATAATCAGGTCCAATGACTATATCAAATATTTACAGCTGTTGCTTCCAAATCATTCCCTTTGTTTGCACAGTCTCTCTCTCTCTCCCCGTGCATGTCAGTATCTTCTCCCTCTCTTTGAATCATGAAGAAAGGTGTTTTAAAATGAATCTGACTGCAATATGTTTCCCTGGCACTTTTCTTTTATGTTGGTGTGGAATATATCAGAGCCATAAATTTTCTTACCCTTCTGTTCTGTACATTGAACATCTCTCCAGAGGAATTTTTAGCACTCCATTATTCAAACCAACAAACAGTGATCTGTCACTGTGCAATATTTGGAGGCTCTGGATTGGTTCCTTTTGGCTGGCTGGAAGAATCTGCATTTCCTCTAAATAACAACTCCTTAGGCTCTTATTAGTGGTAGAAAGTGCCTTCAAAATGGTGCCATGCTCTAGCAGAACAAGAAACAAGAGACAAGTAAATCTTCAAGATGTTGCTTCAGGTTAACATCCAGTACACAGAGTTAAAATTAACTACAACCCATTTAACATGGTTGCTATTGACACAGTTTTGCTTTTTCTTATGCAGGCCTGGAAAAACACATGCAAAGAAGAAAAAAACAATCAAATCACTTTTGGTAGAAACCTCTTTGCTTGTGCATTCTGATACTGAAATTATATTCAGGATGCATAGCGGACATGTGGATATCATTACTGAACTTGCTAACAAATGGTAGATTTGTATTAAGGAAGACACTGGAGAAGAACACACTTATATATGTAAAGCAATTGCAACAGACTGGGGTACTCTAGGAATGACAGCTATCCAAAGAGGGTACAGAATTCTGTCTAGTACATTTCAGCTGCACGTATAATTTGCAAGGTTCTTTTACAGTTAATTTAAACATGTAATGTGTGTGTGTGTGTGTCCCAGAATTATTCATGCAAACATGTATGTGTGGTCTTATTTGTTCTAAGTTTGAAGCCCAAACACAATGACACAGGAAATCTACCAGTCTGTAACCCCAGATTCAAAAGAAACAGCATATTACTTCCATTTGAACATCAAGACAGACTAAAAACCATTTCATTCTTGCATAGCTCGGTGGTCAACCACATGTTGTCACATGTAACTTTAACAGTAAGTTGACCTTAATATAGTTAGGACATTTGTCTAGGCCTTACCAGGAGCTATGACTCACCATCTTCAGTAGTATGTATAAAATAAGCATTGTAATTATATGCTGCAGTCATTTTATGGTTGTAATTCTATGAGTACGTTCTTGGGAGTAAGTCATACAGAACCTTAGCAGAACTTACTTCCAAGTACACATGGTTACAGTTTGAACTATAAACCCTAGAATACCTAATACCCTTAAGAGTATAACTGCTGCACTGCCTCTGCCATGCACTGTGTTCCGTTGTGGTTAGGCCCACTGTGGGAGGAAGGGTACACTTCAGCAGAGCCTGGATAGCCTTCGGGCTCCAACACAGGCTGCAATCCCATTACCATGCAGGAGAAAGGGAGACTACACTGTAGGACATGCTTTGCAATGTTGATTGAGACTCATTTCCCTTATCTTTGTACCTGTTTCCCAGATCTTGTAAGATTTGTTGAAGCAGTATTAGAGCAGAGGAGAGCATTATTATGGCCAGTGTGTGGCTGATCTAGAGTGTGCTTGTGCAGTTAACCTGGGACTTGCAGTCTGACTGCCAAAGAGATTTGTGCTTCCTGTGTTGCATCCTGTGTGAAGAACTAGCAATCACAGAGTTCCTTGTCCACTGACAGGGACAGCTGGTGGGAGGCACAAAGCATCATCATAACTAGGAATACTGATACAGGAGATGGTGGTGGCCTCTGAGGCTTGTAAGAGTGACAGACAGGCCCAAAATATATATTTTTAGCCAACTATGCATGAGCTCTACATTTGCTGCACACTGACAGTGACTGTGGCAGAAACTCCCAGATATGTCAGTAAGTTGATATTCATCAAAAATTGTATAGGTTCTTTTATGGGGCAAGAACAGTTAGCCATCTAGCTGTTTTGCCTATGTACAAGAAAAGCCACAAGTGAAATTTACTTTGGGGACATAATTCAAGATTTTACAATGAAAAACTTTAGAAGAATAAAGATGTTACGTGAACTTCTATTTATACTATATTTGCAGCCAAATTGGCCCATTAGAGAAAAAAAATCAAACCAACAACAAAATTAATAGTATTATCAAGACCAACACATATGTTATGGTAAACAGTGAGCAAGCTTACAGAAGTCATCTTCAGGCTGTATGTTATATTAAGAAAAACAGTTTTAAAAATGGGGAGTGGCTCATGGTAGAAACCCCCATTTATACAATTTCAGAATAAAAAATAATAATTTCAGAATTAATACAGAAACATGCAGCAGACTATGCAGTAGGATCATTGTAAATACACAGAATAGTCACATTATATATTTCACCTGCGGCAGAAAAGGTTACGATTGGTGCCTGAACATGATCTCTAAGAAGTGTTAAGAGCACATTCCTACTACTAAATAGATGTAACATACTTTTGAACTCACAATTGTTTTAATCAGTATTTTAAACTATTGATTTTGCTTAAATTTTATTTTAAAGTGCTGTTGTCTGCTCTCAGCACTGACTTGAAGTGGCACAGAACTAAAAAACAAATACATGCATGCACAGGGAGAGGGAGGGGAAAGAGAGAGAATAAGCACAATTCCTATGCTAGATGAAGCCCATAAGGATATTTTCATTTTCACATTCTACTCTGACCATTCTACCATTTATTTCTGCAGCTATGACTTGCTCAAGGAATTAACTTTTTTGTCAGTGTGATTTTTCTTACTGGAAATACATCAAAGCTAATCACACTCAAAGTAAGTGGCAGTAAAAGGTAGATAAATTATTAGTCAATCTGGTTGATGATAACGTCTGAGTCAGAAGACAACTCTGTAGTCATGGGATAAATTATAAAAACACTTAAGGGGGCCATATATCTTAACATAAAATCAACTCATTCATTATATATAATGAAATTATTGGGGGTTTTTAAATGGAGCTCAGACATAAATTCTGATCAATTAAAATATTTAACTTAACTTCCATACCAAAAGTAAGTTATTGCTCATAATTCTCTGGGGACCTCTCCCCAAGCCTTTTTTACTTAAACATTCTACAACTGAAGGGCTGCTTGGCAATTAGTTCCATGGGACTTGGGCAGCATATTTCATTACGTCCAAATGAGATGTACTATGATTCACACAAACCAGAGTTTGCCTACAAAATCAGTTCTGTGTACATTAAGGACATTTCTGAAATGACTACATGCAGCTTGATGGAAAACTGCCACATGAACTGTGAGGACACGGAAATAACTCAAGCTCATTAAGTCTAAGATCCATGCAAACAGGATGTTTTATTCAAAAGTGAGACTCAGAACTGATTAGAACTCAGTGGTATAGCACCGGCTTCACATCGGGAAGGTCCCAGATTCAATTCTGGTATTTCTAGAAAGGAAACATCCTCTGCCTGAGACCCTGAAAAGCTGCTTCCAGTCAATGATGCCAACTATCTGACTGCATGCAAGACAGCTTCCTGTGTTCCTCACAATGCTTAAAGAGATCCTAGAAACCTGCTTTCCATGTATGCATCACCTGAAATGCTATCCAAATGCAAAAACCAAGATGGAGGTACATGTTTGTGTGACTGAATAGTATTCTAAACAGATGTTCACACTGCCAGGAAACTATTTTCATTTTGCCAATAAGACACAGTGAAGTAGAAAAAGGGCTAAATGACCCAGAAAAGGGTCAGATGGTTGTCCAGCTACCTGGGGGATGCCATTTATTTCCCATTTTTCCTTAAAGTGAAGTCTCACCAGGAAAAATTGGTCATTTACATTAACTTCCCCTTACATTTGTTCATGTAAGAATCACAGATTGAGGAATAGAGCATGTTTCCTATGCTCACATTGGCTTAGCCGACTTTCCATGATCTTCAGCAGATGCTGTGCACTGTTTCTGGCATCTGAATTTACTAGAATCCCTAGAAACCAGGAAGCAAATGCCATACTGGGGGAATTCAGCAAGGAGAAGGCTATCACAATGAGACATCTTCCAACAGTGATGTGAGCCCAGACCTACAACTTCTACCATGCAGTCACATAGGGATGTCTGAAAGTAACTAATGTAAGTGTCTTACTTGAAAATATAACCTCTTTTGCTTATGGGTCAAAAGAGTGGGTTGGGCGAAAAGATTGGTACGTCACAGCAACAGGACCTTTGTTTTGCTTAGATTAGATATACCCAAATTTCTTCTGCTTCTCAATATAATCTCAACTGTAGCCTGCACTTCCCAAATAATCAATCAGTTTCCAGCTTCTGATAATTATCTCCCATAGTCTTCTATTTCTGAAAAGACTTGTGGCCTGAATTACTTACATCCGCAAATGGGATGACAGAAGTTTCCTAGATATAAAAAGCACTTACCTGTCCCAATGTACATCACATGATAAAGTGTGTCCTTGCCTTGAACTATGTCAACCACCAGCTTAGAAAAACGAATGTTGTCCTGAGTGACATATGGATCCACAGAGACTGGTTGCACCACATCATTCATCAGGAATAAGCGCTGGGCATCCTGCAGGATCCTCTCAGTCAAGTTTTCATTAGGGCTATCATCATTCAATATTCCACACTGAAAGCAAAGAACAGTATATCAGTGGTTGTTTGTACCGGGTGTATTACAGTTGGAAATGTTTTTTTCCCCTTTCCTTCCATCATAGAGACACATACAAATGATGGTCCTCTACCCAGTGAGAGGTTAATTTACACCCATGTGGTAGACATGCAATACTGTGTATGTTTAGCTGGAAAAATAAATCCCACTGATTTCAGTTGACCTTTGCCACAAGTGGGCATGTAAAGGATTGCTGCCCCAGAATGCAGAAATTAAAAAATAGCTAAATGAAAAAAGAAGGACATGCAAACATAAGATAGACTTAGAATCTGTAGACCAAAACCTTTCTTGGGGTTTAAAAATCTCACCTTGGGTTTCTGAACAGTGGTAACAAAGTTTTCAATATGTTCAATATTTGCATTTCTTCCTCACATTATTTATACTGCCTCCCTTCCCTTTATTTTAAGCCAAATTTAGGAATGGCCTTCACCCAACCTCCCATTCCTATATCCATGCAGACTTCATTAGTAGCAATATTTCTCATGGCAATCAATGACAGTCCTATGGAAAAGGGAGCTAAAGTTGGAACTGGGGTGATTTGGGACTTCTTTGCCTTGATTCCATTTGATATTGTGTGTTTTTCAATAACATTAACCAAAGGTTAATCATATGCAGTATTTATAGCAAGGTATACCTATTATTTTCCTTCCTTTCTTGGAATAAAAGATTTCTGGAATTTTCCCTTCATCCTCCAAACAACAAAGTGAGGAATTAATTCCCCCCTCCGAATAGTTTTTCTCAGCCACTAAATTACCTTTGTCATCTTCTGAAGGTCCTTTCATTGACCTCTTGTTCCTTTTGTACGTGAAAAATTTTCTAATCTTTTTTTTTGCAATTTTCCTGTCGCTCACCACATACATTTTGTTTTCTTTTGGGAAACTCTCATCTTGGTTTTGTAATCTTTTATACCTTCTCTGTTGCAGAGGCTGTACACTTTGCAAGACCAAAGTTAATCTAGAATATCTCTTACTGCTGTAAGAGATGCGAAGATGCAGTATGATAGGCTTCCAGTTGCATCAGTGAATTAAAGACTGGAAGGCACCTAATACATACAAAATCATTCACTGCATTCTGGCGCCAAGAATGTTGCCAAATGGCACACCTTTTATACTGAGGATCACAATAAATTCATTTAGATTGGTTCAGAATCATTTCTGATATTCCTCCAAACATCACCATGGCCATTCTTTTTTGCATTTCACCCATCATTAGCACCTGCATGGGAGTTGGTGGAAGAGGCCACAGTCATAACCTTATCTGAGTGCTAACAAACATTGCTTCTTAGATATACTATGATAACACTGCTTGATTTGGAGGCAGGGAGGGGGAGGACTTGCTACAGCCATTGGCATTTAAGTAGATATACTACAGTATGTTCTGTTCTGAAAAAGCAACCAGATTAGTATTGGCTTTGTAACCTCCCTCCTTTTGGGAGGTTAAAAATACGTAAAGTTAATATGCAAAGTTTTCCCTGATTTCCCAATCAGCAAGCTGAAATAAAGCAGCTCCAATGCTGAGACTAGATCAGCGGAAAGAATGGACAGCAGACAATATTTTCTATTCCCTTCCTTAAACTGTCTTCAAAGTTTCCGGACTCATAGGCTACAAAATAACATTTTGAATCAAGCCCTGCAACATGACTTTTTGCAGTATTCCTAAGTACCCTAGAAATCCCTAAGTAACAGAAACTATGTGGCACAGTAGTGTTATTTAGGTACTGTAAATCTGAGCAGAGTTGATGCGTGAAGTCAGCGAATGCATTAGCTTTCCTGCCCTGCTGCCACTCATTCATTTCTGTCACATTCAACTCATGGAGGCTAAAGTTCCGAAGAGGACAGACTCATGCATCTGTTGGGATTTGTCCCTGGAAGCTCTATGTCTAAGCAATCATTGTCCCACACTGCACACAAATGTGCTAGCTGTTGCCCCACATTGCCTAATTTTAATGGTTCCATCAAAGAGGAAACATTGCTGAGTATGGATGAACTGAAGTTGCATTAAAATACCTGAAAATTAGGGATGGGGTTTATTGTTGGCAGCCATGCAGATCTTGGATTTTCTTGGTATCGGAAGGGCCCATTAAAGGCTTGTGTAATAGCACTAAGATTGAAGGCACACACTGCTGAAGCAGCAATACTGTTTCTGGAAACAAGGGCAGAGGGAAAGAGAGAGGAAGAAAATCCATTTAATTTTTAGAACACTGACACTTTCATCATAGCAGACATCAAATCTTGCTAAACTAAATTGCATGTAATTGCCAAAAAGGATGCATGCAGCTATAGCAAGGAACAAAAGAATCTACATGGATTATAAAACAATTAGGAGACACTGAAAATCCCCTCTTGAATGCTGTACATGATTTAAGACTGAGGGGAGTGATTTTGACATTAGAAGTCACACACAGTTTAATTCACATGGAACATTAATACTGATATCTCATCAATCCTGATTGGATATAAGAGGTCCAGTTTTTAAACCGCTGGTTTATTTTTCAAGGTGAGATTTAATTTTAAGCTCCACAGGTTCCACTGCAAGGTATTACCACCTCTGAATGGAATAACCACCTCTATTAAAAAGGTCTGAGTACCTTCAGAACTTTGAATATTCACTATGTTATATGCATCCTATTTGCATAAGCCTCCAACTGCAAGTTAAATATGTGTAGAGAATAAGGAAAACGGAATTTGGACTAATTTCATGTAAAAGCATCTTCTGCACAATATGCATATAACATGGCTTTAGAAGTGTGAAACTCTTGCGGAGGGTTGAAAAAAGGACATGGTCTGCATGTACATGACACATCACTCTTGTACTGAAGTAGGTTTTTAAGTTGTGAGTTGCTTTAACAGAAGATTGCCTGGAAATCCTGTGTAATGTTGCCCTGAATCCACCAAAAGAAAGACAAGAGAGATATGAAAAAATGCGTAAGCATTTGAAAAAGTTTCATAACATTATCTGCATCTACCAGCCTGACCTGCCAATCACAATTCAAAACTCTCCTGGCCTTCCAGGCATCTGAAGCAAGTTCTCTTCTATATATTCCTTTCACAAAAGGCATTGGTTTATTCCTCTGTATACTCTTATTCTCAGTCACAAACTACTATTTGCGCAAGACCACAATTATTCAAGTTGAACATATGAAAAAATGAGGTTGCGCTTTTGTAATTTCACAGAGGTATCCCCCTGCCCACCACCTACTAAGAGACTGTGCTTGTAAAGCATTCTGAGGATTCAAAACATTTCAGTATCATTTTAAAAGAGGGAGGGGAATAAAGAGGACAACTGAACAAGAGGAAATCAGAGAGTTCAAAATTGCAGTGAAGAGACTAAAAATAAAGAAGGCCCTTTCCAAACAGCATGGAAGACTTTGTCATTGTGCTGTGTAAATGTCTGAATGATTGCTTTACATATCATGTTGCTAATGGTAGCAATTTGAACTACTATGAAAAGAACACATTTTTACTAAACCAGTAATTACTTAAGAACACATACTCTAAGCTGCATGATTTTAGGCAGGCAAAAAGCAGACAAGATATTTAAAAAATCCTGCTTCATAGAGAAGCAATTTAAGTGTGTTTCAATTTCTTATGCTCTGATTAATGAAGTCACCATGGATGAGGCAGAAGTGATGCCTGCACGGAATTGTTATCACCCCACCTTGTTGCATGCATCTCAGTCAAAATATATCTGTAGGCATTAGTATATTTCCTTCTGCTCAGAGGGTCAACACCACACTTCTTTTTGTTCCCACAACTAAACACGGATCCACAACAATGATTCCACCATTCTTAGAGATGTCATCTTAAGAACTTCCTCATGTCCTGCCTAGTTCTCCCCCTTTTTGCCGCTGAGAAAACTAGACATCAATTTTAAAACATTATTATAAGATTGCATGCTCTCTTTCTCTTTTCCCTCATAACCATCCTTTAATTTCACTGAGCAATGCTGAACTTGGCTTTGAACTTGTCAAAGCACTATCTGCTAAACCTTTGTTCATAGTGTTTGAGTATTATTAACATATTGTATGTTCACAGAAGTCAATTCTTTAGACAAAGTTAATGACAAACGACAAGTTAAAGCCTACAGGCACAAAGAGAAAAAGAAAAATAATTGTCTAAATAAAGTTGTGGTGTTGAGATTTGTGTGAGGTTTGCAAGGTAAGCCCCTGAACCTTTCACTGTAAAAGTTACCTCTTAGAACTCTAAAGGGATATGCAGTACAACACTGATTATCCAACAGCTTTCTGTCATTAGATCTGGCACATTGGCCCACATAATAATTCCACTGGGATGCACAGCTCTTGTGTAATAAAATCTCTGAGCTGGATATAGCCGTAAGGTTGGTCCAAGTATTCCAAAATTTTGAACAAAGGACAATTAAAAGTAGTATAAAATATATGTTCTACAGTAGTACTATATGTTCTACAGTACATAAAAGTACAAAGAACCTTAATGCATTGCTCACCTCTGTGACTGCTCACCACATATTAAAATTTGTAACACTGCAATGAGCTAAGTTCCTATATGAAACAAACACCCCTAGGGCATAACCAGATTAACAATATAGAGCGGCTAGCCCCAAGGAATCCTAAGAAATTTAAATAACTGGGAAATTTCTGTCCTCTGAAAACCTCCAGTATCTTAATAGATTGTATTCTGAGGTTTCTTGGGAGAAATTGGTTACCCAATGCTTGGCTTCAGTTACAGGACTGAAATTCTGTACCAAGTGAATCCAGGTACATTTGTCAGGTACGCTATGACAGCATGCATGAACGTGAAGATTTGTGCATATATCATATGTCATGTGGCCATATGGCACTCATAGACACCCCAAACATTTTTGAAATGTTCCTTGTTCAATTTTTAAAATATACGTACATGGATTTGTATGAAATGCAGAACATTTTCTAGCAACATAGGTTTCAACAAAAGGAGGTCACATATTCAAATTAAGTATGTGCCTGAAGTTGGCATCTATATTCCATCTGTTCATACACAGAAAGCACTCTAGGTGTGTGTTTATCCTTCCAGTTTCGTAATGTTGTCTTTTAGCAGCCTAAAGGGCACAGTTGATCCATATACCCTTCTGTTTGTTAATTTTCATGAAGTACAGTGTTATTTATATATATATATGAATATGAATATGAATATGAATATTAAAGACGTTTTCAGTACAAAATTTATTTCTACTGGGCATTGCCAAAACATACATCTCAAGGAAGCATTCGCTTCGGTAATTAGCTGAATAAGTCAATCCTTTGTTAAGAAGACAGTGCGGTATCCAATAGACATCGAAAAAAAGATTTCATTAAATAAGATGCAACAGGTAGATGCCAAAGTAGTAATCCACTAATCCAGCATTTTGTGGTGGTGCCCAGAACCACCTCCCTAATTCTTGGCGCCCACAGGTCCTGTTCTAACTAATGGCTAGAGAACATTGTCCCAACAATACCAAGGATTGTCCCATCTCTCAACATGTAACAATATTCTACTACTAATATTTTATTTATTTATTTATTTAAAACATTTTATGCCACCCCCATCGCAACAAAGCCTCGGGGCGGCTTACAACAAAAACAAAAATATACAAAATTATATTAAAACAAAGTTATACACTAAAAATATTAAAACCCGGTGCATCTCGGCTTAAATTTTTTTAAAATCCTACATAATAAATTAACGCTTAAAATAAGTTTTAAATTAAAAGGTCTTAGCCTGGCGCCGAAAAACAAATAACGATAAACAATATCACCCTATTGGCTAAAACTGGCATATCCTGGAATACAACTGGAAAAGTGTGGCATACACACAAACTTTCTGCATGGAGTCATAATTAGGAGAGAATACTTGTATTAAGTCTAAATATCAACTTTTCTCTGAGCTTGTTCTGGAGCCTTAGCACATAACTGTGTGAGGAAAAGTGCTAGAAACACTTGCTTTTCAACATGGTTCTACTGAGTTTTCTGCCATGTTCCACTTGCAAGGTAACTCTCCAAGTATGCCATATTGGCTGTTGAGGGATCAACATGGTCATCATGCTGACACTGAGAGTCAGATGTGTTGGATCAGAATGGTTGAAATTGGAGAGGTGAGGAGAGCTCTAGGAGATGGCCATAATTAACACCATCTCTCTCTGGCCCGACTTTTTGTTAAAATATTTGAACAGTGCCTAATTCTTAAAGGCAGGCATACTTGTCATATTTTAATCCACCACTGATTAAGTCAGTGTACTGAGAAAATGGGGCAGGTCCAAAGTGTTTTAAATGGGGTTTTAGTGACCCTACTGAAAACCTTAATAACAACTGCTTAAATATTTCATAAGTTGCTTCCTTAAATAGCCATCTTTCCTGCTGACTTAGCTCCACATTACACAACAATGAGCAATAAATCAGAATATAACATGTTTTTCCACAATGATGTGCACCTTGCTGGCTGATGCCTATTTTTTGGAAAATTGTTCCTGACCCCATTAAATTAGAAGCTTCAAGATTTGGGTATAGACATATTTTTCTCTTCCTGTAAAGCAAATGTGCTTTAAAATAAAAAAATAATGCACCCTTTATGCATCAGTCATGTTGCTGCACCAAACATAAGACTTACTTTGTATGCAGAAAGCATGCGCCATGACACAAGTCCTGATAGAAGTTAAAAGAATAATTACCATTATTTGTCTAGTGGGCTGACAAATTGGAACATTTTCCCTTCTTTGAATACTTGAAAGAACACTGTGTCATTGCACAAAGCCCCTGTTTGATCTAACTTTAAGCTATTATCAATAATAATTTGTCTATTCACTTCTAAAGGAGTTACATAATGCTTTTTTCTTGCAAGGTAAGAGTGAGGGGGGAAGCTGTAATTGCATATTCACTCTCTTTCCCCCCACTAGCAAGTCACACTACAGTCTAAACAAGTACAGGGTGAGATGAGGAAAACCACATTAGATTTTGCATATAAACCAAATAGAGAAAAAAAAACCCCTAAGTCACCAGGGATGCTTGAAACATAACATTTAAAAAGATACAAAGCATGATAAAGCTGGAGCCCTTACTTTAGTCACTGTGGTCAGACAGTCATATCTCAATATAAAAAACCAAGATATGGACAATATTTGGGTCCTTGTGCGCACCCATGTTAACCCTCTGT